TGTAGTGATAATTTAATCTTTCAGCTACTGTAATGATGGTTTTAGCTTTTAGCCGTTTTGCCCCAGTATTTAGTGACTAAACGTTTGAACCACCGCAGTTAATGAAATAACCCAGCAGCTTTCATCATGTTGCTGCTTCCTATGTTTATTTGAAATAAACAAATAAATTATTTCTACAGTTTTGTGTTCAAGTCTTTCCTGAAATTATGTTTCGGGTAAATATGTATAATAAACTCTTTGTAAAGATGTTAAAATAAATAAATAAAAATCAACTCTCTTTAAAAATCCATGCAGGTAATTTCTCGTCTTTAAGCTGATGTATTCAAACCCATCTGCTCACAAGAGACTCATGTTCAGGCTGCTGTTTAATGTAGCACATTATTTTACATCATTATTGTTTAGTGTACAAACAAACAAATAAAAATCCAATAAAATTGTCAGCCACGGTTTTAGATTTTATTTTAAATTAAAAAAGAGCAGCTCGATTGTTTACATGTACAGTCATTCAACCAAAACACAGCCGAGAACCTCCGTTGAGTCCGGATCCTCCTCTGTGAACTCGCCGGTCTCTGATCAGCTCTGGGACTCGCCGGTCTGTGCCGTGTCCTTCAAAGTGATACTTCCCGTCACGTGCGTGATGAAGCATCGGAGCAGATGGATCCCAGAATATTTCAGAGAGCTGCAGGAAGGAAGAGGCCAACAGATGATAAGACCTTCGGCTGTGTGTCGGAGAGAATAAAACGTATCCGTGAGGCTGACGGAGACGTCACCTGACGAGGAACGGCTGGGGGAAGCAGCTCGCGGTTCGAGCTTTAAGCACATTCTGAAGGTTCAGAAGGTTCATCAGCAGAGATCCAAACCCACATTTATCAATCTTTGTCACAACAACCTGGACAACAGAAGTTTGAGACGTTACGTCCACATTTGAAAAACGACACACACTAACTATACAACAAATAAAATTACTTTTACGGATCCATGGGAACTTTAAGAGTTCACAGAATTGGTCAGCATAAGAACTTCTTGTTGTGATCCACATTCACGTGGCGACTAGAGCAGACCCCAGAAATCTGGGTCAACTAGAACTAAACACAAAGCTATGTCACACCGCCATGTTGTTTTCAAAGAGAACGACCTTTGACCTGCTAACTGAGGCCTGTAGAGCTGGGGTGCCCATTGCCAATATGTCGATCACGAAGGCAATTTGAGTAGATCCCAAGGCAAAACGGATGTCAGCCTATCATCCATCCTGTTAAGAGTTTTTCCTTTCCACTGTTGCCTTTGTGCTTGCTCGAGACGGGAGACTGTGACAAGTGACGATTCAACGAGTCTGCTGCTTCCTTACATGGAGAACTTTATGAATTGGCTTTTTATGTATGTGAATGTTTTTGTGCCCCGAGACAACGCATGTGATTTGACGCTACATAAATAAACTGAACTGAATCCATCATCACGATGAAATCTGTCACGCAGGGCAGCCGATCTGAGACCGCACCTTTTTCTGACACACGGTCACCACGCATGCACGGACAACCGCGTCCAAAACGACCGAGTTGCTTCCAGTTTATTTCTTCTAATGTAAACTCCAGATAAAGTGCAACATGAGTGGGGGAGCTGGACCAAATAAGAAGCAGCAAACCTACCATTTCCATACGGAACCGGGGGGGAGGACTTTAGTTTTTCACGATGTCATATTCGAAGTGCGTTCGCCTCGTCTGCAAGTGTACCGACGCGCCATTTTCAGACCGTTCATAAAAACTACGACACCGACTTCTTTCCAAAAAGCGAGCCGAGAAAGAAAAAGGTGAAGGAGCTAAAATGCCAGTTATCCGGACAGGAGTTGCATTCGGGCCCAGAAAAATCAGACCCGACCCGGCCCCAGCCAACGAATGAACCGTAATTACAGGTCCGAACCCGAAAACACCCGGACATTTTTAATTAAGCTTTGACTGCTTATATAATTATTAACGTTCGGTGGACGTGCGCGGCTGAGTAAAGTGGGCAGAAGATCAGAGCTGAGGGGGTGTTTGTCCTTTCATGGCCGTCAAAGAGCATTAAATCCCTGTTTCTGCTGCATTCTGCATTATTCAGACACGGACCCTGCTCTGACATGTCGGATGTTTTGGGATCTCAGCTGTTTGGGTCGTCGGCAGCGCGCGACCGATGAGTGCCGCGGTTAAACATCCATTTGGGCTTTGATGGATCGCTGCCTGGCAGTGGTCCCATCCGGAGCTTAACTGAACTGTTTTTAGCTGGCCGGTCAGCGCGCGGTCAAATGACTGTTGGTGATTGTATGGCAAGCCATGTTGCCATATAATTGGATCGTCAGCCGCGTGTGTCCGCTGACGCAATCAAAAGCCCGACACCGACCCAGCCCGGTCATCCATCACATTAAGGCTCAGGCTAAATTTGGGTAGAGCCAGGCCGGTCTTTGGGCCTGGGTTAGAAATGATAGCTCTAGACAGCGGCCATTTTTCTTACAGCTGACCACAGCAGCCGACGCATCATTCTGGGTGAGTCACCTTAATAATCGTTAAACACAAGAAGTCCTTTCAAGACGGAGAGATGGTAAAAGAAGCAGCTGACTCGTTGTTCCAACTTTAAAAACAAATCAGAAATATTATCTTCATCAAAGCTCTCCGGGTGTCAAGAAATACGGTTACGATTAAAAAGCAGCCCTACAGTCAGGGCTGTTCCTTTTGTGTGACGAACGCAAATTATTGCTGTTTGCTCATCATTTTGCACGCCGACAGTAAAAACTGTCACTTTTTTTGGGTTTTGTCATTTATGCTGCGTCCACAGCGCGCTGGGACGTGAAACAAATTAAGCATAATTAATAGGATTATAAACAAGTTCATGTTCTGTATTTCTATACTAGATCACTTGGACTCGGTCATTTTAAAAGTAGCACACATGATGAAAGTGTGCCCCCCCCCTCCCCCGCGCTCTGGACTTTTGACTCTTCTAGATTAATGGGCGACAACAGTTCAGTCTCTGCGGTCATTGCTGATGACGTTCCACCTTGGCGTTGTGTTAAAGCAGCAAACAGACAAAACTCCTGCAGTTACTCAACGTAAATCGATCGAAGAACGAAGAGTGCATTTTGACATTTTAACGTGCTTTAGCATTATTTCCAGGTGTGGCGAATTCGCCTCGTTCCAGAGGCTTTAAGCTGCAGTAACTTGTGGTTTCAGCTACTTCAGCACTGAGAGCTGGTCTGTTAGACGCCTCTGTTCCAGTCCCGGAGCGCTGGAGTTTAGCAAGCCGACAGAATGATGAATGGAGGGCGTTCAGAGAGCAGCTGCTTCATTACAACGTCAGAGCTGCGCCGTTTCAGGCTTTAAATAGCTGAGTGGGAACGTTCAGCATTAATTCACTGTGGACACAAAGACAATTTGTAAAAATGTATCTCAGGACAGACGGAACGAAGCGGGTTGATGCCAGCGAGCGCCGGCAGAGAGAGGAGAGCCTGCAGGGGGAGCAGAGCTCAGACTGCTGCTTCACGAGTCAACCGTACAAGATTTACACAAACAGGAGTTTGTGAGCTGAAACAAACCCTCCATCAAAGTTCATGCTCAATCATCCACGTACCAAATCCAATAATGCTCAGTCAGGTCATCAGACAGTTTCTTTTTTGTAGAGACAATTCGCCCTCTATCCGGAGGGCTTCATCAGTCTGAGGAGTCCTAAGTGAACTGTTTACCCACCAAGCAGTACACTTAAGTGGACCAACCGGTTTGCTGGAGATAAGATGGTTTCTGGGGGTCGTCCTGTCCCCCGTCGACTCCTCCCAGGCAGGCAGCCACAGCCAAAGTGGCTCAAGGCATCAAACTTCATGCTCAATCAAACAGGTACCATCCAGGACTGATGAAGCCCTCCGGATAGAGGGCGAAACGTCATTCTACATAAAAGAAACTGTCCAGATGACCTGACTGAGCATTACCGGAAACCTCCAGCTCCGTCAGACTGACAGACACGGAGGTAAAACTTGGGGCGGTAGTAGCTGAGATCACCCCTGACACACACTCTGAGCTCAAGGAATGCTGCCTTTACAGACTCATGCACCGTATTTTTCAGCCCAAGTCAGAATTTTTTGCATAATTTACATGCCCTGCGACTTATACACCAAAGTTATTTATTTAAGGATTTTATTTTCCATTAAAAAGTGTCTATTAATGACACAGACCGCCACCGTCACCTGCCTGGAGCAACCGTCAACTCAGCTGCATTTCACTGCGCCGCCCCGACGAAATGCAGCTGAGTTGACCATTGAAGTGCATTTATTAAGTAAAAGTTAGACTGAGACACATCTTTGCTACAATGTCGAGCAAACCAATAATTGTTTTTAGGCGGTTATCTTGTTAAATTTAGAAGAAATGCACAGCAACTCGTCCCTCTGTGTGTTCCTACGTCTGCGTATCAGCTTTTGAAAATGCAGCTGATTTGACCAAACAATTTATAATTTAAAGCAAACAAATAATAGTTTTTAAGTGTTAATCTTGTTAAATTCTTGTTAAAGTCCTCCCGTGCACGCTCCCACGGCTGCCATTTGGCAGCCCATCGATTTATTTTATGCTTTCTTTTATCTTGTTTTGAACTGAAGTTCAGCACTTTGTTTCAGCTGTGGCTGATGTTAAAGCACTTTATAAATAAAGTTGATGATGATGATGATGACGACACCCACATTTCCGGGTTGTCAGTGATGATGCGTAACAAACGCGACGCGTCAGCGGTGACTCATAATAGATGCGGCGTATTTATGGATTTTTCCACTTTATTAGACATATTTGGACTGATGCGACACGTACGGCGGAAAATACGGTAAATGTGATTATTTTTTACCTCCCAGAAAACGTTTGAGTATAAAAAAAGATTTTCTTGGTGCTGAAGGTGTCGGTTAGCGTCCTACCACGTACGGACTTCGGGTGTCCTCGCACATGTCCAGAGCGATCTCGTCGGCCTTCTGAAGGCCAACGCTGCCGTCCACCAACAGGAACGTCCTCACCAGACTGAAACAAACAAACGTCGTCGTTTTCAGACACTCGGAGCTGAGAAATGGAAACACGATCCCAAAAACCAGAACACAAATGCTAATATGTAAACACATCCTGGATGTGAAAAAGCACATCCGAGTCCAAAAATCCACAGGTTCCAGAGTCAGACTTGAAGATTTCACAGCTGAGGTGACTTTAATTCACTCAGTGGAAACATTCCTGTACATTTATTTTAGAAATCTGCAGTTTCAATTTAATTAGCTGCACGGTTCAAAGGTCGAGGAAAGACAAAGTGCTTCAAGTCACAGGTTCGTCGTGTTGCTTTAAGCAGAAAGATAAAAGTTGTGCACGTTTCAGGGTGACGTGTTGCATAAAGTCCAAACGTGGTCAAATATGTTCAGATGACGTTCAGACCAGTAACAGGGTTTTCTGCCCAGTTCAGTCTGGAACTTTTGAAAACCTTCATAAGAAATTTAAGACATAAATTATTAAAAATATGAATTCATTGTAACCCTTTGGATTTTCTTTACTTTAAATTCTATCTAAATTAAAAAAAAAAAAACAGTTTAGCATAAAAAACAGATTTTTTGTGACCGGCCTGATGCATGATGGGAGTTGTAGTTTTGTTAAACTGACGTTCTCCTTCAGAGCTACAGACCCACAGATCCAATAACTGCTGAGATTAAAGAAGCAATTAACGAACATATAAACTCAAGACGTAACTAAATGTGCTTTTGGACACAAAGTGGAACATCTGGACATATTTAAGACTTCTTAAGACATAAAACGACAAAACATAAATGTAAGACTTGATATGAAATGCAGCCTTTCTTTGTTTTTTTAAAATGATTTATTCAGACGCCTCTGCAGTTTGTCTAAAAACACGTCCACACATTGCCACGAGGCTGCGGACACAACTGTCCCTGATGGACAAGTTGGACAGCTGTGTTAACGAGCACGTGTCTGTAGGTTCCTAATGAAGATACTAAAGACTGAAGACTGCAGGATGGGCTGTGATAAATATTAAAATAATAAAGGAAACCCTCACACAGCTGGAGGACTTTTAACTTTTAAATAAAATATAATTTTCAGTAAAACATCTGGAAGTTTAAAAATGTTTTCCAGACTGTAGAGTCCTGAGAAAACAGCAAACCTGTGAATATATCGTCCATGTTTTTAATTAGTTCAGTTTATTATGAACCTGATGGTGAGGCAGCGCCGCCCGGTGGACTTTCATTCAGCGATAAATTCAAAAACGATTTTGGATTCTTCTCGTCCAGATCTGAATTTCCCCTCACAATTTTAATTTTTTTTACGTTGACAGTGAAAGCAAACATGCTATTTTTAAACACCATTTTAATAAAATCAAATTCAGGATGTCTCATTCTTGTAAAAAATATTAATAATTGATTCTGGAAGATTCAGTCACTGGGATGAACTTCAGGACTTTTATTACTCTTAGTAATAAAGTTTATATAGTTGTGATTTAACATTTGCCTTCTGTTTTAATTTTGAAGTTTTGTTAATAGTAATAATAAGCATTCACACTATTGTGATCCTGTTTATATTTATTATTATTCCGTATTCTAGTTACCTTAAACTATTCTGTACATTTTTCAGCTGTTTCAACAAATCATGAATCAAAACGTTCAGCTCTTTCAGGACAATGCTGCTATATTTTTTGGTATTGGTGCAACTTTTAGCTTTTTGACATATTTAGCCTTTTCTGCCATTTTTTCCTCACAGAAAATGAACTGAGCTCATTTTCCATCCTTCAGATCTTTAGATGTGTTCACAACATTTTGTTCTGCTTCAGCTTCTTTCAGCTTCCTTCTGCCAATTTAAACATTTTCAGCTACTTTCAGCTGTTTTGTGCTCCTTTCAGGTTCTTTTTTACTAACATTTTGGTGCTTCTTCTCATTTCTTTCTGCTACCTTCAGCTTTTTTCTGCTAGTTTCAACTTTTTTTGCTCTTTCAGCTACTACTTAGCTCTTGATTATGCTTTTAGCTTTTTCAGGTAATTCCATATTTTTGTAGCTCATTTAATCTCTTTCATCTTTCTTCTGGTAGGTTAAGCTTCATTCTGCCTTTTTAGCTAATTTTCTGCTCATTTCAGACTTTTTTTTTAGTTAATTTCCCATTTTTTGTGCTCTTTTATTCAACAAATGTGTTCTTTCTGCTGATTTAGGCTTGTTCATCCATTTCAGCTACATTTCAGCATGTTTAGCTCATTTCAGCAAAGTATTCTGCAATAAGCATTCACACTGCATTTTCACAGGAAATGCAATTTCTCTCTTAACTTTTCTGAGAACAAAATGTATTAGAATCACATTTTTAAAAAGCACAACATTTAGTTTCAGACTTTCATCTGATGTTGATCATGATCCCCCAAACCCTGATGGACAAACTATCCACACTAGGACTAAGCCCCTCCATCTGCAACTGGGTACTAGACTTCTTAACAAACAGACCACAGTTAGTGAGGATCCACAACCTCTCCTCCTCCACCATAACCCTCAGCACTGGCTCTCCTCAGGGATGTGTGTTGAGCCCCCTCCTGTTTACTCTGCTCACATATGATTGTGCAGCTACCCATCCAGGCTGTCACATTGTAAAGTTTGCAGATGATACAGCGGTGGTGGGATGCATCACAAACAATGATGAGTCAAGCTACAGGCAAGAGGTGGAACACCTGGAGAGCTGGTGCAGAGAGAATAATCTTCACATCAATGTGAAGAAGACAAAGGAGATGATTGTGGACTTCAGAAGGAACAAAAACACCTACACCCCCCTGAACATAAGAGGATCTGCGGTGGAAGTGGTCTCCAGCTACAAGTACTTGGGTGTACACATGAATGACAACCTCAGCTGGAGCAACAACACCACCAGCCTGATCAAGAAAGCTCATCAGAGACTCTACTTCCTCAGACGGCTGAGGCGAGCTGGTCTGGGAAGCTCAGTCCTCACCTCCTTCTACAGGTGTGCAGTGGAGAGCATCCTGTGCTCCAGCATCAACGTGTGGCATGGAGGCTGCACAGCTGCAGAAAGAAAAGCTTTGCAGAGAGTGGTGAAGGCTGCACAGAAGATGTTGGAGTCAGTCTCCCCACCATCACAGACATCTACACCTCCAGATGCAGGAAGAGGGCCACCTGCATCATGAAGGACCCCACTCACCCAGCCCACACACTTTTTGCCCCACTCCCCTCAGGAAGGAGGTTAAGGAGCATTAAGTGTAGAACCACTAGACTGAGGAACAGCTTCTACCCTGAGGCTGTTAGACTCATGAATCTCTAACTAGAATAATCACTGTGAAAAACCATATCATGTTGCTGCTGATCTGTTTCATGTTGCTGCTGATCTGTTTCAATGTTGATGTGTTCATGCGTGCACATCTGCTCACAGACTCGTGTTCATGTTTGTGCTGATGTTCAATGTTTTATGTTATGAGTGCTTAGTGTATATTTAGTTGATGTTTTTCTTAGTTCATATCTTAGATGTTATTACTGTTTTTCTTATACATTTTATTGTTGGATGTAACTGGGACCCTGTGTACATAATTTTGCTCCACCACATGTACCACATGAGGTGCGAATGACAATAAAGAAACTCTGACTCTGACTCTCTGATGTATTTTTCTTATTTTAAATAAATGTTTGTGTAACTTTAATAAAACTTCATAAATCTGAAGATGAAGAGAAGTAAAGCTCAACGGTTAAAAGGTTTTTATCGTCTTTCGGACCTTTTCTCTAAAATAAGTTGTTAATTGTTGGTTTGTGCTGCGGAGCAACACGCCCGCCTCCCAGCAGCGGAGAGAAATGGCAGATTTACTTCTTCCTGGTGTACAAGTACTCCTCCACCATGTCCACGAAGTCTTTAGGGGCTCGGTGTCCATAACCCGGCATGTCCACGAAGGTGAAGGCTTTGCCCACTCTGAAGAAGTTCATCTTCTTGGTGTGACCCTGAACAAACAAACACAGAAGATATAAAATAAATCATTGCTCAAAAATATGCCCTCGTATTTTCTTTCCAAGGAGCTAAACTTTGTTGTAGTCTTTGTTGGTTATTTATTTATTTATTTTTTAAACAACACCCCATGTTGTTAAGTCAAGAAATAAATTTAGCTTATTAAAATGTGACAAATTCCAACGAGACTATTCCTTTTATTACAGAATCATTTAATGGTGTTGGTAGAACGGGTTCAACACTTTTCTTTTCAGAGTACTTTACGGTCAAATGTCTCTAAGACCTGATCGAAGGTCAAATGTCTCTAAGACCTGATCGAAGGTCAAATGTCTCTTTAAGACCTGATCGAAAACACATTTCAGACCTGCAGCAGTTCTCACGATTAGACGCCGCTGCAGGCCTCAAAGAGCCAAACGTTCTCGTGTAAAAATAAAATAAAAATAAATATCAGTGACGATCAGAGAAAAACAAGACGTGAAATTCTGAGTTTGCTCGAAGGTAAAAACAAAGATCTGTCAACAAATCAGTACCTGTCAAACTCATTGAGTAGGAGCCAGTTTTGTGGCTGTGGCAGCCATCTTGGCTAAAAGGCACGAACCAGTAGTTCGTGAAATATTTTGCTAACAGGCCTGGTAATCTTCTGTGTCTCTCAGCAGCAAGTGCTCACTGCGCATAAGGTGAAGTTTAGGGACAACTAAAGACGTCTGCGATGTCTCCGGAGGACTCACGGGGGTTTTGGAGACTCGGACTTCGACCTCGGGAGTCAGAGAGAACAGAGCTTTGATGAGCGACGACTTGCCCACGTTGCTCCTGCCGATGAAACACACCTGGAAAGACCCAGAGCACACAAATGAGCAGCAGCCCTGGAGTGTTTTAGCTGACACTCGGCTCATTCAGGAGGCGGGTGCTGTGACTTTAAGTTTTAATACTTTTTTTAAATATTTAACTTTCATAACAAATATTTCCCCATAGAAATAATTTACAATCTCTTCAATTTGTTTTATTCTGCTACTTTGGGCTTTTAGCTATTTTTTTTTTGTTACTTTCAGCTAGTCTTTAGCTTCTAGCTCGCATTTTATTACCAAAGATTTTCTGTTTTTAGGTAGCTACAATTTGAAATCTATATTTTTTGCTACATTTAGCTCTTCTTTTGTTTTCGTTTGTCCAGCTGTCTGCAGATAAATCCTTTCTTCCCACTATAATAAGTGTCAGTGGTTGGATGCCGCTGGACATCCTTTTCTCAGTACTCCCTAAACATTTCCTCTCCAACAGCTTTATCTCCGTCTGAAACAACAGAAGTTAGAAGTAAATCCACTCTGTTGCGACGCAGAAACAAACAGCTGTATTTTTCCTACTGGATTAAGAGAAAGGGACACTCTGGAAGTGTAAAATCACATTCTGACCTCTGGGGGTTTCAGATCCGGAGTGTGGTCCATCCTCTCTGCAGAGGTGTAGTAATCGATAACATGAGACGGAGACGAGCAGAAGAGCTTCTCTGCTTTGGCCATGTCCTCCACGCTGGGATGGAAGAGCTGAAACGGCGTCCTGTCCACCGACCTGAAAGCATGGCTCTGTTAGAATCAGAACCTCCTGCTGAAAGATTAGCCGTCAGAGACAGAACGAACAGCACCTGTGCAGGTAAGCCTCCACACTGCTGAAGGGGTAGAGGAGGCTCTGCTTCTGTTTGAGAGGAAGTGAGGTGACCTTCTTAATCGAGGCCAGTTTGTGGACGCCGAGTCGAGCAGCAACACGAACCGGTGCTGCAGACCGGAGCCGCAGGCATCGCTGGAGACAAAACATGGTCAGACGCTGATTCCAGAGCAGCTGAAAAACACAGAGCGAGTCGGTGTTAGCGGTCCGATTGTTCCTGATGACTTTTTACTAAAGTCAGTAGCATTCATTAATCGCCGTTTGATTAACGAGGATTTAGAATATTACGCTTAATTTTTTAAAATTTATTAAAAATGAACCAACCTGGTTTCTTTAATTAAACACACAGATGTTGTGAGATAAATAAAAAACAACACGAGCAATAAAAGTCTGTGGGCTAACGATGAAGAGGGCTGAGGGACGGCAAAGGATTGGTTAAAAACACATTTATAAACTTTCCAAACTGTTGGTTCCACGACTGAACTACAGAACGTGGAACAAACTGAGTGTCTGTGACGGGCGGCCGCTAACTTAAAGTCTAAAGATCTAATTTAAAATTGTTTGTTGACACAACTCTGGTTCATCCCTTGAGTTTAGAAGCTTATTTCTGTCTGACTGAACCAAAGGCCAAAGTTAAAAAACATGATCTGGTGCAAGAACTGAAACTAAACAAAGTCTGTACTTGACCAAAGCATTCAGGGAATCTGAGCAAAATTAGTTTAAAGTTCGTTTGGCTACATTTTATTTAAACATTTCAATAAAACACACAATTACAGGCAATAACTTGACTCTATGATCTGTTTATGTCTTATTAAATATTGTTTCTTTTACTGAAACAACCTCAATTTATTAATACTAGAAAGGTTAAATCATGTCATCTGGACCAGTTCCTTTTAACTTTTTAAATAAAAGCGTTTCATGTTAAAAACTCGAGATAAAAGCGTGAATTGTTTAAAAAGGAGACAGGTTAAAGCTTGACCTCCTGCAAACGTGAAAAAAAACTAAATATATTTCACATTTACCTCGAAGGTAAAACGTTACATTTAAAACGACATAAATTACATTACATTACATTACATTTAAAACACATACCTGAAGATTGTGCTCCGATAAAACCAGAAAAAGATCAAATTTATTGAAAATGCGTTAGCGAGCAGCCATTTTGCTTTCCTTCTTCTTCTTCTTCTGCTGCTGCTTCTTCTTCTTGTGTTTTATGGCGGTTGTCAACAACTTGGAGGTGCATTACCGCCACCTTCTGGATTGGAGTATGAACCAGACGCTATACCACTCTATATTATTTTATATGCAATATCCTTCCTAAATTACCTATTCTTCTCAAATATCTAAATATTCTGGTAAAAATTGTATCCCCTGATGATCTTTGCGGCAATTCCTTTATCTTTAACTTACTTTTATTTTTATTTAAGTCACTAACTAATAACTCTCTTTCCTTTTGTATATTTATTGCATTCTAAGAAAACATGTTTTATTGTTTCTAATTGTCCACAACGATCACAACAGCCCGTAACATGTTTATCGATTATTTTCAGTGTGCTGTTTAATCCCGTGTGACCAAATCTCATCCTCAAAATAATATCTTCTTTTTTTTGTTCCATTACATTTCCTGAATTCCCCCACCTTTTTATGGATATTATAATAAAATCTAGCATGGTCTCCATTATCCCATTTCTTCTTAATATGTGGCTTTATTATATTCTTAACCTCGTTTTTACTTATTTTAACGTTTAAATCCACAGTATTTTTCTTGTAGCACTTTTAGCAACACGGTCAGCCAACTCATTTCCTGTTATTCCGATGTGTGCAGGAATCCATATTAGTTTAATCTCTGACCCATATTTGTTAATCCTGAAAACTAATTGAGCTATTTCCAGAACAATATCATGTCTTGTATCTGAATGTACCTTCTGAATACTTATTAATGCGCTACTTGAATCTGAACAAACTAAAACTTTTTTCCTCTAATTTCTTCAACCCACTCCAAAGCCATAAATATTGCCAATAATTCCCCGGTGCATACTGTTAAATTGTCAGTTATTCTTTTGTTTTTCATAATATTTATTTTGGGAATTACCAAAGATATACCAGTTCTGTTATTTAACATTTTAGATGCATCAGTATAAATCTTTAGATATTCTGAGTATTCCCTATGTATCTTTCCACCTCATTACTTTCTAATTCTCTCCCTCGTTTCAATAAATTTAAATCAACTTTGATTTGTTCAAGGACCCATCATGGTGGAACAACAGGAACAGCAACTGCAGGACTAATATGGACATTATTTATTCCTATATCTTTAGTTTGATTCAGGATCATCCATCCAAAAGGATTACATTCTTTTCTTTCTCTTGACAGGGCTGGAGAGTATTTTGTGGAGGATGAGTTTCATTATGTCCTTTAATATTTGCCCAGTAGTTATAGCTGTTTGTGTTCGTCTAAGCTCCAGTGGCATTTCTCCCATCTCAACCTTCAGAGCTGATACTGGAGTTGTTTTCATGGCTCCACAACAAAGTCTTAAAGCTTGATATTGTACTTTATCTATTTGTTTTAATAATGTGTTTGAAGCTGAGCTATATAAAATGCATCCATAATCAAAAACTGATCTTATTAATCCAACATAGATTGTCTTTAACGCTTTCCTATCTGCACCCCATTCTCTACCTCTCAGACATCTCATTATATTTAGAATTCTTTTACACTTTATTTTATCTATATGTATTTTCCACGTAAGTTTAAAAAAAAAAAATCAAACCAGATACCCAAATATTTGATTTGATCTACTCTTTCTGTATCGTCCCCATATAATTTGAGATTCATATTAATGTTTATTTTTTTCTATTTGTAAAAATAACTGATTTCGATTTGGATGTTGAAAATCTGAATCCCCATTCTAATGCCCAATTTTCTACATTATTTAATGCCTCTTGTATTTTCCTTTTAACAAATTCTATATATTTTTTCCCCATTTTCCAAATAACTCCATCATCTGCAAACAATGAGACGCCAAAAGATTTATCTATATTACTAAAAATATCGTTAATCATTATTGTAAATAATATAGGACTAATTACACTGCCTTGCGGAGTACCATTTTCCACTTGATAATCTGAACTAATTTCTCCATTTATTTTAACACTAATACTTCTTTCGGTTAAAAAGTTTCTCATCCATCTATAGATCTTACCTTTTTACCTAAACATGATGCAAGATCAATTGGTCTATAACTTCCTGCTACATTAGGATCCTTCCCTGGTTTACAAATAAAGACAATAATTGCTTCTTTCCATTTGTTTAGTATTTTCCCTTCCTCCCACACCTTAATATATAATTTTAATATTTCTTTGCTCGCATCACTAAGATTATTCAACATGCAATAATTGATTTGATCTTTGCCAGGAGTTGACTTCCTGGAACTCTTCAATGCTTCGTTTAATCCCATCAAAGAAAACTTCATATTAATAGTATCCTCATCAACTTCGTCATTCTGAAGTAGTTCAACGTTCATCCTTAATGTTAATTCTCGTCCTCTTTTTTTCTTTATTATTCAGATTTTCTGTACTACGTATTTTTGCAAATGCTTTAGCTGATAATTCAGCTTTATTTTTATTATCAGTTACAATATTTCCGTTATCTTTTATTATTGGAAAATAATAATCTCTTGAATTCCCAGACATATTTTAATAGTATTCCAAACCCTGGTTATTGGAGTATGTTTCCCCAGTGAGTCTCAATATTTTCTCCAATAATCCCTCTTAGCGTATCTGATAATTTTTCTAACTTCTGCTTGTTTCCTTTTATAATTGATCAGATTCTGGAAACTAATAGACCTTTTCAAAGTTTTAAAATCCTTATTAGGCTGTTTAATTGTTGCTGTGTATTCTGGTGTCCACCATGGTACTAACTTCTTCTTTTTGAGTCCATTACTTTTAGGAATAGAGCTTTGGGCTGTATCAATTATACATATACTCATTTCCAAGTTTAATTCATTTACCGTTTTATTTGTATCAATATTTTTCATATTAATCTCACTCATCATTTTAAATTTGTTCCAGTCTGCCTTTTCAAACTTCCATCTCCCGTCAGTCTTTATTTGGCCTTGTTCCGTATCTATTCCAATGCTGGTAATAATTGGGTAATGATCACTACCATCAGGTGCTAATGATCCATCGTTAGGCTGATGGTCCTTCTTGAGCATGTGAGCAGCTGGTTCTGGTTGTCAGCACTGGTTGATCCACTCTGAGAAGGTGCTATTTAAGAGACTGAGCTGAATACAGCACCTCAGACTGAGGAAGTCCTTTGGATGAGAGACGAAACGTTTCTACATTTTGTTTGTTTGTTTTGTTTTGTTTTGTTTTTTGAATGTCCAGAGGACCAGATTGAACTTTTTTTAGATTTTTCTACCTGGATTATTGAGCATGCATCAGGATGTCTTTACAGCTTCTTCCCGTTCGGGTCGTGGAGGTCACTGGTGTCCATGTCCAGCAGTCGAGAGGTGGGGGACACCTGGACAGGTCTCCAGTCCATCCCAGGGACACATAGAGACAAACAACCATTCTCCCTCTAGAGTTAGCACTCAGACTGACATGCAGTTTTTTTGTTTGTGAAAACTCACGCAGCACGGACAGAACGTCCAACTCCACGCGGGCACCCCGGCCGGCTGGGATTTGAACCAGCGACCTTCTTGCCGAGAGGCAACAGCTCGACCAATTGAGCCCATAAGATTAGACTGTCAGATTATTTTAAATCCACATCTTTATATTTAGTCATTAAGAAGTAAAATTAGTTTTTTAGGGTTTGTTTAATTATTTATGAAAGCAGATTATATGTGATTTAAAAAAAAAAGGCAAATATTTTTTATAAGAAGTAAAACAAATCTTACTGTAAGAGCTTTTTTATTTTTTTATTTGAAGGAATGAACTCTGATTTAAATGAAACAACAGATTGAAACCTTTAAACTGGTTCCAACAACCTGAATAAACTATAACAAAAAAAAAAAAAACCTAAATAATTGTATTTTTCCAACTAAACGTATTAAACTAAAAGACAAATGCCTGCCATTGAACACAATAAACTTAATATCCTGATGCATGCTCAGTAATCCAATAAACTTAAGTAAATCCTTTGAAACTCCAGATGTTTGTGTAATTGGAGCCAGTTAACGAGTTAATTTAATCTTATTTAGAAGAAGCTTCGTGGTGTCGGGCAGCTCGAGGCTCTGACTGATGAAGCTCTGCACTGATCTCACCCTGCGAGGGTCACTCAGGTCGAATTCACGAGCTCCAGTCCGTTTTTAGCTTCGCCTCCATTTTTCACCTTGATGCACGGCTGCAGGAACATTCCTGAGGGGCGGGAAGGGAACGGTACCTCTCCCCCTGTCGTATCCGTCCTCCATCACCATGTTGGTGGGGATTATTGAGGATTATAATAAACAGAGAGCGCCAAAGAAACGTCTCTATAAACGGGAGGTGGCTGTGATAAGAAAACTCTGGGCCTCTTGCCTCCTCTGCATACTTTCACTCTGAGCCCAACAGGAAATGAGTTTTCATCAGTTTCCCTCAGAGTTTCATCTTTTCCTCCTCTGTGCGGTTAATAATCCAGCAGGAATCCTTTTGTTTTACCAGTAAACTTGACTTTAAGTGCAGGTTTTGGACTCCTCTCACCCCACACGGTGGTGCTGCAGACCGCAGAGAGCTCGCCTCCTCGGCCTCCTCCTGCTGCTCCATCTTTTATGACCCGTCATGATTCATTGTCTGTTCACAGGACACATTAATTCACACGTTCCCAGCTCTCACCTCCTCCCCGCTCCTTCAGAACTGGACTCTTAAATGTTCTCAAACATTTAATGCACCTTTACTGTCTCAGTGCGCACGCTGTGGCACTCGTTCTAAAGCAGGGCTGTCCAAAGTGCGGCCCGCGGGCCATTCGCGGCCCTTGGAGTGATTTTGTGCGGCCCTCGACTGCAATTAAAGAACGGCTTAATTTTCACTTAACATTTTGATACAGATGATCTTCTTTAGATTTAATGGTGATACTTTTTAAATATAATTTTTAAGTTTAACAGATGAAAAAAATCTTAAAATGAGCAAGATTAAGTACAATACAAAAAATAGCTATAATTAATCTCTTCAACAAACCTTCACTGACCAACCAAAAAGTAGAATTTTGTATATTAATTTA